CGCAGGTTCGAATCCTGCCGACAACGAGTTTTCGTTTTTTTTGTGTCGGTACCTCGAAGATGCCATTGAATTATGGAGGGAAACGTCTGTAATCAAAACACCCGCTAACTAGCTGCTTCTGTAATACCACAGATGTATGCAACAGCCATACGCCACCACATCGTATGGCTCAATGCTGTTTAAAAGCAGTTAGTGTTTCGTTTTCAATGTAACTTACTAGATGTTCTTCTTACAACACAGTGGGCGGGAGCCTCTTATTGCTTTCATACTTTCAGATGTGAAGCTATTTCCCCACATAACCCCCCATTAAAGTCAAAATCTCCAATAGTAGGTCAACGGCATGGGTAATTATTTTCAGTTACTGAATCCGGCCACAGGTGAGGGGTGGAAGCACAGCTGCTGTTCTAAAAGGTGCTCTACATGCCTCAAACGTGTTTAGTACCATGACCTAATAACAATCAACTATTATTTTAATACAAAGCACTGTAAATTTAAGAGCGCAGAAATAATGACAAAAAACCCAGTATGGATTCAAAATGTTCTCATTGTTATATAATTGTATTCAAAATAAAAGGCTTTCCTGTAGAAAACCCAGTACAAAGTCACAGCTGACAGATTCACAAATACTCAGTTGTGTTAGGACACAGAAAAAAAAAAAAACAGCCAGTCACTATCACAAGTGTTCAAAGTCCCATTATAAATGTTACAAACCTTTGCCATACGGTGGTATCCGGCGTTTTTGCATGCAAACCAGTTATTAATCATCTTGCAATATGAACAGACTTCATTCATCATGCACACCATATTTTCTGGTCAACATTTCATCAGCTGTAACAAGTTTAAAACATTGACGTTCGAAGGCATCTCCAACTTATTCAATGCCTAAATTACAAGAATTATTTTCTTATACAGTAAAACTCCTGCATCTCGAGTTCAGATGGCTAGAATCTGTGCCTAAAAGCACTTAATAACATACCATTTGGAACAAGAATACAACCCTGGAAACTACTAAAGGTGAAACGTTGGAAGGAGACAATATGCTCAATGATTTATTAAAAGTATACAAATTGTACACGTTCTAAAACAACTCAATGACTTCAATGGAGTATTGTCCGACGTCTTTCTTCACCTTCATCTTATTGAGTTCTTGGAGGCTGCCCTCAATCTTCCCGAGCTCAGAAACAAGTCTCACCTGAGGACACAAGACGGCATGTTTCAGTTTTTTCCCAATTACTTTTCAGAGAACGGCAGTAAATTTGGAATGTTTTGTGTTATTTTCACAGAATATTTAACATTCAGCCAGTTAAAGAGCAACCAGAAGGTAAGACGGTTTGTTACCTGAGACTTAACAAAGCAGTGGAGGTTTAGCAGTAAGCCTTTGGCCTCTGGAGTCATCACTAGCACTGTGAAATGGGCATCCAGCAGCAAGCATACCCAATCCATGATCTACAATCAAAAAAAAGGAAAACAGAATTAGCAATAAAACTCTTATATAAAGTATATTATTATTTCAGGGAGTTTCTGGAGCATTCTGTATATCATAATGCCAGTGCTTTATACATGTTTGTTATTTATTAGAAGTTTAAAACAACACTGTCTCCATCTTTTTATGCCAACTATATGCACTGTGGTTACACTTAAATCAGACCGCAGACAGTTCAAGGCCCCCATATCTGTATTTGACATCCTGTCAGTGAAATACTCTTTCTTCCTCCAGACTTGTCACTTGATGTATTCTGGTGTGACAGACATTAACTGCACTCGTATGTCAAGTGTGGCCAACTGTCTAGTTAAGATAATGATACACACCTGAGTCAGACTTGGTGATCTCAACCCATGCATCGGTGTGGAAGCATCTTGGGAGTATTTTAGGTAAAGGAACTGCAGGTACTGGAGGAAAAGCTGATCGGATGAAAAAGAAAATGAACATTGTAAAAACAGATTTGTTCAATGGGTACAGTATCAACTGTTTAAAAACATGAATGAATGCTGACAGTTTTATTTTAGAGATGGGGAAAACTAGCCATTACTCACAACAACTTGTTGGGAGGACAAATCTTTTAGGTGTGGGAGGAGGAAAGTGTCGCTGTACGGCGTTCTCAGGACCTCATTTCTATGCACCTCGAGTCAAGGTCTCATATTTTGAAATTCAAATCATTACACAACAAACAGTTTGCGATAAATGTTAGCTCTGAGTGACTGCGCTGCGCAATGGGAGGATACAGTAAAACAGCCTTGTGTAGTCCCACTGGACAGATCTGTTCTGGTGGCGTCGAGGTCTTCTCCTTGTCTTCTTCTCTGGTCTTGAGGACGGCACCACCTCCACTGAGGGCATCTGACCGATCCCTGTCAAAGGAGGTGGGGCTGAAACCATTCTGCAAGCCAACTTGCCCATGCTCCCTCACAATTAGGGTCTCCATGAAGGAGACACTCTCAGGCTCCAGGCTCACTTTCTCTGCATCTGCGTCCGGCATACTGCAAGATGAAGGTTTATATTACACAAAGTCAGGCTGATAATCAGATAATTAAACCGCTAAATCACTTTGGTTAAAAGGTTTAAAGCCACTATAAGCAGAATTAGAAAAAAACAACAACATTACTTTGGTGCCACCCAGTGGTAGTATCAAATGTGGCATCTATTTATGCCTGTATTAGGGTTGTGCACATCAAAACCATCAGTTTTACCTGATGAAGGCCTTAAGGCAGGCACAGGTGACAGCTTCTGGGATGTCAGGGAAGAACTGCAAGCAGAGCTGACAGAGAAAATAATCCTTCTTCTCCAGGGCCAGGAGCACAAGGTCAGGACACACACTGTTGAGGATGAAATGGTTTATCGATCACGATGCAAACAAACTCACTAAAAATGTTGACTTTTAAAACTATCTTACTATTACTACTACCTATAACAGCATCCTGATTCCACTGTTGCCTTACTCACCTGTGGCAGAGGGACTGAGTGTGCACTAGCTGTGCCAGGGTGCTCGCGGTGTAGAATGCTGGATCGGCCAGGCTCCGGGACACAAGGGTCGACGCTAGCTGCCCCAATGAGGCCTGCAGTTCCTGGATGTCTGCCCTGGAGAGGAGTCCCTCCACCTCTTTCTGGACCTCTTCTACTGGGGCCATCTGTAGGAGGAAATGGAAATGTTTCATTATTATAGAATTACTGTTTTTGTCAACTCTGTTTCCGTATTTTTGCCAGAGAATTTTTACCTTAGTGATCTCCAGAACTTGGTCAATCGTTAAACTAGGTGCTGCTTGGGTCTTACGGTTTGTTCTCTGTATGGAAAAGAGAGAAGAATCAAATCATAAACGAAACTAATAACAGGAGTGTTACTGAACCATTACTCTGCAGGTGTTACTAACACACACACACAGACTTTTAAACACAGAAGCAGTGAATTGCTGTATCAAAAATTGTGTCACATTCAAACAGCAACTGGTGCAATTGTGGTTTTAGTATGGGTGCATGTTTATTCAGTAATCTAACCCTAACCCAATAAACCAAATTCTGGTTCTGATTCTGATAAGTTGATATGAACTGTTTGATGAGACAGAATTATGTACATACTAATTTAGGCTACCTTTATAGATAAATCAAAAAATAAAAATACTACAGCAGCCCTGTACCATTACAAATGTTCCCCTTGCTAAATCACAATTTGACATACTTATACACTGATGGTCTGGGAAACACTGAAAGACCGTTTTTAAAGGCGACAGTGTGGGATTGATGCACCACGTTTTCTTACAATCTATACAAGGTCCCTTATTTTGCCCTGAACACTCCACTCGGTTATCCAACATACCGTCTTCCGGGTTTCCACTGTCCTAGAGGGCTGAGCTTTCTCTCCATGCAGAATATTATTCCAAGATGGTACAGAAGCTGGAGCTTTGGACTCTGTAGCAGCAAGGAAAACACACAGCAGTGAGTGAACATGCAAATATTCAATGTAGAATATAGACTATCAGTGTTGTAGCATCATTAATACATGCTGAATATGCACTATTTAGTATGTTATTGCAGTATTATTTATTTATATAAAATTAGTGTACTCAGGTATTAAAATGTATTATGTATGCCATTTGCTTTACGCAGCTGCACAACATTA